CTGCCAAAAGAACCAATAGATCTGTTTTGGAAGAAGTGCAGCCAGAGTGCTCCCTGGAGGCCATGATGGCCAAACTTCGTCTCTCATACTTTGGACATATTGTCAGGAGGGACCAGTCATTGGAGAAGGATATCATGTTTGGTTAAGGTGGAGTATCAGAGAAGAAAAGGAAGACCCCCCAACGAGATGGCTTGGCCAAGTGGCACCATTGATGGACTAAAGTGTGGCAACAGTCATGAGCTTGGCCCAGGATTGGGCAGTGTTTCATTCTGCTGTGCATAAGGTCATTATGGGTCGGGACCAACTCGATGGCACCTAACAACAACAACAATAAGGAAAGATAAAACATTAAAAATTCTCCAATTTTAAGAACAGTGTGAATGTTTTACAACATTCTGGTGAGGTTCTGTAGTACTGGGACAGCTAACTGCCAAACCTGCCAGCAGCTCCTTGAAAGCATCACACTGAGTTAGAATGGACTCAATGGCATTGAACAAATCAGGCCAAAAGCATGGTTAATATGAATTTGTAACAGACACTGTTTGAAAACATATTGGCTTATTAATAATGAAGGTATTTTGCATACTTAGCACCTCACTGTGGAAACCAGTTGGAATATTACTTGCTCTAAAGTCTTTTCACTGGAGTCCTAGTGTGGCACTGGTAGGATAAAGCACTGAACCTCAGGGTCGGTAGCTCAAACCCACCAGTTGCTTCTCGAAAACCCTATACAGGGTCTCCATGCGTTGGAACCTACTTGACGGCACTAACAACAAACTCTTTTCAACAGAAGAAAACAGCTACATACATTTCCTTTTTGCAATAAATTAATCAACATAACTCTTAGCTGTAGGACGTTATAAAGATTAAATATGATCATGCAGGAAGAACCTCAGGATATTCAGCCAAATCATGTTACCCTTGCCTGGCCAAATAGGCACTCAGCATTTAAAGGAGCTAGACATAATCGGGATCTCGGTGTTTCCATTTTTAAAAGGTGTCTTTATTGTTTTGTTTTTAATGGGGACATTGAAAACCAAGAAAGGTCAAGCTAAGCGAGCAAAGTAAGCCCAAGCGTTGAGCGATCAGAATCAGGTACCAAAAGGCAGAGCTACAAACTTCCAAAGGTCCCACCTCTGCCTGTAAGTCCCGCCCGCCTCCCTTCACATCCGTCGCCTTGGTCGTGGTGAAGCAATGTCCGCCCAGAGAAGGGTGTGGCTTCCGATTCCTTATGCTATCGCGATTGCTGGTGAAAGAAAACGGGAACGTGGGGGCCACGTTTCCTTTTCGCCCTTCCCCTAGATTCCTCATCACAGTTCCGCCCTTACTGCCGCCACTTCCGGCCAGAGAAAAGCCGCTTCCATCCGCAGGGGTTGTTCCCTTCGCGGAGACGGCAATGGCCTCAGCCCACCTAACTTCCTCTATATTTCCTTCACAGCTGTTCTTTCCAACCGCAAATGTAGCTAACTACCCCCAGTTCTCTTTCCCTCTCTGTTTTACTCTAGGAGAAGAAAGGGCAGGGAGGAAACTGTCTCCACGCCCTTTCCCCTACCTTTTATTTTTCCCTTCCCGCCCTCACTATACACCCGCCCAACTAGGCGGAGACGAAGCCCGATTCACCCGAAGAAAGGCGGGGCCTCCTTGTCCCACCTCGCTATCGCGATCTCTCAGAACTCTCGCGAGACCCGACGCCCGACTTGTGCGCCCGGGAAACCCCGTCGCTCCCTTTCCCCTGGCCGGCAGCGCGGAGGCCGCACGGTAAGCGAGAGCTCCTACTCCGCTTGGGTTCGTGGCGCCAGGACTGGGTTCTCCAACCCAGGACGGTGTGCCTGAGGACCTCGGAGTCCCCAGCTTGGGGTTGCCCCGCCCCCCGGAGGCGCAGCCACGTGCGAGCGGCGGGCCCGGGCATGCCCGGTCGGCGTGGGCCACTCTCCTAGACGGGGCCTTCTGGGTGGCGGGGGGCGCGTGGAGCCTTCAGCGACCCGGAGCTCGGGAAGTTCGTGTGGGATCGTCTTAGTCTGGGTTTAGGCTGTTAGTGGAGTCCACAGAAACCGGGAGTGTCGGGGAGCGGGGCCCTTCGGAGTCTGGAGTGGATGTACTGGAGCGTCTGAGTAACTGGACGGCTCAGGCTGCACTGGAGCGGAGAGAGCGGGATAGGGCCTGAAGCCCAGGCCGTGTGCGCGCACCACATGCACGGAACTTATTTCTTAGATGCCTGGAGTTACTGTAAAAGACGTGAACCAGCAGGAGTTCGTCAGAGCTCTGGCAGCCTTCCTCAAAAAGTGAGTGGAGACCGGGGTTCCAAGTGGACCGAGCTTTGCCCTGACCCTGATGGAGACGTATAGTGGGTGGTGGAGTTCCAGTCCTTTGTATTTTGGAAGAACTGACCAGATTCCTGTAAACCTCGGGTGGTGGTGGTGGGGGGTGGGGAAGCTGGGGATCAGCAGATGGACTTATGGGAACTGTGCATTGTGCCTTAATCACTGTTTTGGTCCTAGGTCTGGGAAGCTAAAAGTCCCTGAATGGGTAGACACTGTCAAGCTGGCCAAGCATAAAGAACTTGCTCCCTATGATGAGAACTGGTTCTACACACGAGCTGGTGAGGAACTGGGTGTTTTCTTGGCTGCAGCGTGGGGGGACCGGGTTGCAGGGAGAAGATATACCAATCTTTTATATATGGTATACCTTAATCCTCAAGAATCTGCCTTTGTGTAAGAGGTTTATGTGAGGAGCTGTGGTTTCTGGCTAAACTTCAAGGGACGCCCAGGAATACAAGGATGATGATATTTGATGTCGAGGTGGTTCCTTTTTGGTAGGGAGATGGGATATTTGTTATATTTCAGTGGAGTCTGTAGTCAAACCTATATTTGACATTAACTAGCTGTATGACCTCAAGCGGAGTCCTGGTGTGGCGCTTAGTTAATGTGCTGGCCTGCAAAGTCGTTTTGAACCCCAAGGTTGGCTTGGAAACCCTATACAGGATGGCTATGGGTCTGAACCAACTCAACAGCATATAACAACATGATCTCAAACAACTAACTTAATCTTCATTTCAAAAATGAGGTTGATGATTGTACTAATGTGGGATTCCTGTAAGGATTAAATGAGTTTAAGATGCTCAGAATTATTCAAGTAAAGCCAGCTGTCTGCATCATTTTCATTCCTACCTAGGTCCTCGTGCCATGTCTTCAGTAGTTGGAGGTCACACTGTTTGCTCTGAACCATGCCATTACTCCCAAGTGGCACAAAGAAAACATCCAGACCTTTACACTTGCTGACCCCTTTATAATCGTGTGATAATAACAGCTTAAGTGTAGCCCTTGGCTGTGAAGTGCTGATTCCTCCTGGGCCTCACCATCTCAAGGTTCCATAAACTCAACTGGGGAGGCTTTATCAGTGTTGCACGTCTTGCCTGTGAAGTGTGCCCTCTGTCTTGAACTAAGTTTCTCCCCAGATAGCAAATATGTGGGAAGCTGTGTTTTGAAATTGGCAGAATCCTATAGTGCCCTTGAGAAGAGTTGACCTGGGTACAAGTTGCCCAGCATCTCAGAACATGGAGTAATAGAACAGATCTGGTGAAGGCAATACTGGCTTTAGTACCTGCATACATCAGTGGTGAGGCTTGGAAAAGATAGCATCGTGCTTATGAGATGGGCTCCTAACCTAATGGTCAGCAGTTTGAAACTACTAGCTTTTCTGCTGTCACAAAGATTTAGTCTCAGAAACCCTGTACAGGGTCATTATGAGTTGGAACTGACTCTCTGGACACCACCATCCACATCTATAATCCTGGAAGCCAGGCTGGGTCCTTAGATTTTGGTGTGTTTGCTTTTTCAGGTGGGGAGGGATTAAAGCAGTCAGGACCAGGACCCTGGTTAATAAATTAGTCTGCTGGTTAATTCAGTTACCATACACCTTGCTACTTCTCTTGTCCCTGCCATGGCATCTCAACACTAATAAATCCTTTTCCTGCCCCACAACCTCTCTGGAGAGGTCACAGAGGTCCCTTGGCCTCCCTTCCCAGCCACCCAGTGGCATAGAGTGGTTGTGTTCTAGGTCTATGCTGACTGTTAAGACTGTTGGGACAGTCACACCCATTTGTTTACATACCTGCTATAAAGGTAGAATTGTGGTTGTGGCACACTAAACCACCTAAAGCATTTACTATTTGACTCTACAGAAAGTTTAATCCCCGTTGTAGAAGCATTGATTTTTTTTTTTTTTTTTTCCTTCCCCAAAGAGAAAACACAGGCAGATGAAGCGCCTCGGTTTAGGCCACACTGGGAGAGCAAGGCAGGCAGGGTTGGTCCAGAATCTTGACTGTTTGCTTTTGAACCCTGGGTCATGGAGGCTGGCCTCTTTGCTCTCCCAGGAAGTGGTTGAAATGTGGGATCTGAGAATTCTAGCTAGAGGAGTAAGGAGTCTCCCCAGGCAGTGGTGGGAATGGGAGGGACATTGAAACCCCCATAGGTCTTTGTGAAAGGGGATGGTGCAGTATGGCCCCCTGGGCATCTTGACCTAAATTCTTAGGTGGTAGGAATTCTGCCAGTTTGCAGGGGTGTAAAAGGATCCAGTGTGTCCTGGTGAGCACCTGCTGATTTGAGATGCCTGAGCTTATCTGTTTCCTGTAGGAAGGAGGTTGGTCTTGATGTCTGCACAGGACTGGATTGCCTCTTTTGTGTTAGTGGAAGGAATGAGGCCTGGGAGTATTTCAGGGAGCAGGTCACAGCAGTATTCTTCCTTCAGAGTTCCAGGGTAGGATCAAGGAACTGTTTCTGTATATACACTTCTGTGGCATTAGTGGCATTCTTCAAGGTGTGCTACCATTTTTGTCTTTTCTGATTGTTCCTCTCCAGTAACATCAACTTGCTGTCCAGTCTTAACACTTGCTGGTGTTACTTGATGCCATAGAGATAGTTTTTAAAGAGCATACTATATGGGGCAGCCATTTTTTACTAGTCCAGCTAAACTTGTTTTTGTTTTAAGATGACTTCAGTGAATACTTTTGTTTTAAGAGTATCTCCAAGGTTCCAAAAACAAGTTATGTTAAAGACTCCAAGGTTCCAAAAACAAGTCTATGGAAATCTGGAGTTCTGTGCTTTCCCCCCTTTTGATAATTCTTAAATGGAGTCTTTGATTTAAATATTCAATAATGGCAGTCAGGCACCATCCAGTTCCTCTGGTCTCCTGGCTGTATTCGGTGGATCGTGAAGTGGCTCCCACAAAAACTGTTGAGATGCTGAGGCAGGATGACTATTGAGAGTTGGTGAGCCCGCCATCCCCCACTCCTGTTGGGCTTTGAGGCAGGCCTAGTAGTCTAGCAGGTGAGGCTGACCTGGAACATGTCACCATTTTCCCCTTGACTGGTCCACGTCTGGGGGCCCATGCGAACCTTCCTTTGCCGTTCAAGATTGGCCATCACCTAGATAGAGGATTTCCTGTGAGGAGTGGTGGTCACTTGGAGTGCAGCAAGGGCCTTTGTTATAGTCTCTGTCTCATAAAAGCCAACAAGGATGACCTGGTTTCATTCAGGACAACTCATTTCATGCAGGGCTACAGCCCTGAATGTGAGGAGAAGGAAGGGTGATGAGAAAGGCCAGGTGGGTGATCTGTATAGTGGTGGGTGATTGGTATTGCCACTCTCATTGTTTTGAATTCATAGAGATCACTAGCATGAGCTTGGGACCCTTGTAGTATGACAGTGGTGCCTTGTTGTGGATGGCCTCCCTTTACCACTCTCTGCTCAAGGTTGACATGAATGAACCATCTTTTGTGGCCTCACATGAACCACCTTAAAGGATCAGTGGGCCTTGGTCATGGTTGGTGAGGAGCGGTGTTGGGCTCAAACCCCCCCAGTACTCCTCACAGCTCTGGGCTCAGCCGCCTCTTCCTAGACTAAGACTGCAGTCAGCACTGCTCCTGGCTCCGTGCGACCAAGGTGGAGCACACAAGCCTCTTCAGGAGGGTGAGGTATTTGTTGTGACATGCCATCAAGTGGGTTCCAACTCTGCAGAAGTATGAGAGGGAGAGTGTGTCTCACCATCCATGTTTCTAAGGAACATTCCAGCTGTACTTCCAAAACAAGATTTTATCATTCTTCTTGCAGTCAGTAGTGTATGTTCAGTGTTCTTTGCCAATACTGAAATTCAAATGCATTAATTCTCCAGTTTTCCTTATTCGTTGTCCAGCTTTCACATGCATGTGAAGTGATTGAAAATACCATGGCTTTGGTCCCAATGCACCTTAGTCCTCAAAGTCTTAGCTCTTTCAAAAGAGGTGTTTTGCAGTAGATTCGTTCAAATGTAATATGTTAATTTCTTGACTGCTGCTTCCTTCAGGCATTGATTGTGGATCCAGGTAAAGTGAAATCCTTGACAGTTTGAATCTTTCCTGTTAATTTGTCTGATTGTGAGGTTTTGTTTTTTTTTTTTACATTGTTGTACAATTTGGACTGAACACTGTAGTAGTCTTTGATCTTCATCAGTAATTCCTTCAAGTCTCTGCTTTGAGCAAGCAAGGTTGTGTCCTCTGCATCATATTGCAGGTGGTTAATGAGCTCTCTGGCAATCCTGCTGCCCTGCCACATGTCTCATAGAGTCTAGCTTCTCAGGATCTTAGATTCTTCATCTGGATTCCTGGTTAGTCTGGTGCAGTGTGGGAAAGGACTTTAGAGTATGGCAGAGGCTAGGAATAAATTGTGTGGGAGAGTGGTTTCCAGAGAGAACCCGCTCACTCAGTCAACCCAAACCCTCCCTGCAAGTTTACAGAAGGCTGGAGGGAGAGTTTGGATACCAGAGGTTTTGTCTGTCTCTTCCTGAAGGAATGAACCTCTAGTTCCCCTGGTTGATGTCAGTTTCTGGGGACCAAGGGATGAAATTCAAGAGTCTGTGTCTGAAGTTCCCCCCAGCTGGACAGGACGCTTCCTCCCCATCACTTCCTTCCAAATCCTTGTAAACCTTTTCTTCCTGGGTTGTAAAGCCTCAGTGCACTGTCTGTAAAGGAGAATTATTAGCATGTGACATACATCCATTGGTCCTCATACACCAGCTGTCCTAAGAGTAGAAGAGAATTATGCGAAAGGCATTGACACAGCCTGGCAGGCAGGTTAAGAGTGTTTTCAGCATTGGGAACCACTGTAGATAAGTGTAGTCGGCATTGCTAACAGCACCTCTGGGAGTCATGGTGTGGCACTGAAGGATCAGCCAGCACTAGACGGCTAGCCAAAGGGCTCAAACCCAGTACAGGGTCGTTATAAATCAGAACCTACAGGATGGCACTTAAAAACACCCACAGTGCCTCAGGTTCTACCCCCAAGCAGTGAAGGAAATCAGCCCTGGGAAGGCAGATGGCCTGCCTGGCGTCCTCAAGAGTGTGGACCATGGGGGGTTGAGGTAGGTGGTGAGCTTTAGAATGGTGAGAAATAGCTGTGTGGCAGTGAGTGGACCCTTCCCCTCTGCCTGAGGAAAACCCTCATATCTCCCTCTTCCCCCCACCAGCTTCCACAGCACGGCACCTGTACCTTCGGGGTGGAGCTGGGGTCGGCTCCATGACCAAGATCTACGGGGGGCGGCAGAGAAACGGCGTCATGCCCAGTCACTTCAGCAGAGGTTCCAAGAGTGTGGCCCGCAGGGTCCTCCAAGCCCTAGAGGGGCTCAAAATGGTGGAGAAGGACCAAGATGGGTAAGTTGGGGAGAGCTCGGGTGCCAGAGCATCTGTAATCAGGTGTCCACGCACACACTCCATGTAGTACAGGTGCCGGGCCTATTCTGCTCGGGTCTCTCGCCCCACCCCCAGAGGCGGGTAGGGGTTCTGCAGGAATGTGACCAACATGAAGCCTCACCCTGACCTCTCTGACTAGCTACCTTGAGTTGTAGGAAGGTAATTTAGAGACTGTCCACTTTCATTAGCCTGCTTGTTAACTTTTCTTAATTGATTTTTTTTCCGGGGCTTTGATCTAATGCTTGCACAAATGACACCCTATCAGCTCCCACAGACCTCCCGTTCTTGTCCCCAGCTCCTTAGAATGAGTTGATTGGCTGGAATCATGTAGTCCCAGGCCCAGGTGCCTAGGAGTGGCCTGTCCAGGCAGGGGCTGAGCCTGCAATCACCAGAGCTTTATGCCTCTTCTCTTACAGTGGCCGCAAACTGACACCTCAGGGACAGAGAGATCTGGACAGAATCGCCGGACAGGTGAGGTCTGGTGTGGGCTGTGGGCATTTCCTGAGCTTGCCCCTACTTTTGTTATCTATTGATGGCAGAAGAATTCTTTGCTCTGAGACCTGGGGGCAGATTCACTTCTATGGTGGATCTAGTTGGGGGTGGGCACTGGGTTTCCTTCCTGGGTCAGTGTATTTAATAGATTTCCTACAACATTCCTTCCTTACTCTTGATGCTAACTGAGCATCAGATGGGGACCCGAATCCAGGTCTCCTTGCAGACCAGATGCTCATTACTCCATTTTTCCCACTGTTTGATGCCCCCCAGGACCTGTCAGGCACACTCAGTGTTGATTCTGTGCCCCTGGCTTAGACCAAGGGGCTTATTTTTGAGTGACCTGAGAATGGGAGGGAGCTAACCCTGGAAGAGGAGAGTGTGAGCTGCCTGGTTTGTGGCCCCGGGAGCCTACCTCACCCCCCAGGCAGTGCAGAGGAATTAGAACACCCTTCACTCCCTTTCCTGAGCAGTTTGTTTAATCCTCTGTAAAAGGTGTATAAGGCTTAGAGAAAATGAGTACATTTGAAACCACAAGTGAGGATTCCTGGGGTCCAATGATACGGGTGTATAGGAGGTCGACATTAACAAGAATCCCAACAGACCATCCCACAACTTATTTTTCTTCTTTTCTCAGGTGGCAGCTGCCAACAAGAAACATTAGAACAAATGATGCTGGGTTAATAAATTGCCTCATTCGTAATCCTGGTCTGGTCTGTCTTGATTGGCTGCTTCTCTTCCGGCTGGAGGGGTGGTGTGGTGTGGCAGGGGAGCCCAACAGTCAGCTAAGCTTTGGCTCAGCTCAAACTAAGGTCCCTGTGGGCAGGACCTGGAACCCTTGCACCTCCCCCACATCCTGTCTTTGCTGCTGCAGCTCAGGAGCCAAGAAATGAGTGTGGCTGTTTAGATAGTGACGAGAACTGGGGCTCCCCTCTACAGCCTGTACCTCTACCTTGCAGTGGAGCTACTGGGATGGAGGCTGGTGATTCCTGGAAGGAGGAGGTAGAGGGAAGCAGACAGGACCCCCTCCATGTAACCCCAAAGCCAAGGTGCCTAGTCTTACCTCAACCAGGTGGGCTCATGTTTTGCCTGAGCCTTCATTCTGGGTTTGAGCAGTTCTGACCTTATCTACTCTGACTAATGGAACTGAAGTACTGTACTTCCCCAGGTTGTGAATGAAGAGTGGACAAGACTGGGAGGGCTTGGGCAGTAGATCAGCCCCCAGGACACTGGGTTTCTGACCAAGCCAGTGTAGCTTCCTGCCTGGCAATTGCTTCTAGATGTAAAGGAGGCAGGGACTCTGTGATTGGACCTCTAGTAGCATTGAGCAAATCCAGACTGCAAGCACATGTTGAGTGCCATTGAGTCGGTTCCGACCCATAGCGACCCTGTACAGGGTTTCCAAGGGTGTAAATCTTTACGGGAGTAGAAAGCCTCATCTTTCTCCTGCGGAGCAGCTCGTAGTTTCGAACCACTGACCTTAAGGTTTGCAGCCCGATTTGTAACCACTACGCTGAGTGGATAGCGACCCTGTATAGGGTTTCCAAGGAGCAGCTGGTGAGTTTGAACTGCCAACCTTGCAGTTCAAATGGCTTTGCAGTCTGGCGTATTAACTCACAGCACCACACCAGGACTCCATTATGTGAGTTATTAGTTCTATGCCGTGGAGTCCATTCCAACTCAGTGACCCTGCACATGGCTTCTGAGGCTGTCTCCCGTGGAGATGCTGATAGTCTCAAACTGCTGACCTTGCGGTTTGCAGCCCAATTCGTAACCACTATGCTATCAGAACACATGCCAGGACCCAAAATGCCGAGCTACACTGACTGATGCGGTCCTGTAGCGTTAAGCACGCAAGCACAAGATTGGTTTGAACCACAAGATTAGTGGTTCAAACTTGATCAGCCAGTTTGTGGGAAACCTTTTGTAGGGATCCTGAGTCAGAACCAACTCAATGGCACTAACACTTGACCAAGGACCCCAGATTACCCCAGTCTACATTAGCTGCAGAGTCATAGAAGTGAAGTTGTTCTCCCTACCCCCAGCACTTGAGGTTTTCAGTGTTTTGAATGAACAGAACTTAACAGGTGCTTTACCAATACTGCATGCAGCATCCTGTGACCTAAGAGGCACTTGCATTTTGGAGAAGGGCAGTAAGTCAGCCTGGTGTATGTACACAAACATGCTGTGTATACAGGGTCATTTAGAGTTGGAATTGATGGCAGTGGGTTTAGTTTTGTTTTTACCACTGGTTGCTGTGGGTTCAAACTCCTAGTGACCCTGTATAGGGTTTCCTATAGGACTCCATTGGAATGTTCAACTAGTAATCAAAAGGTTTAATACACCCAGAGGTGTCTCAGAGTTAAGGCCTGGTGATCTGTCAAAAGGTCATAGTCTTAAAAATCCTATGAAGTGAAGTTCTACTCTGCATACATGGAAATAAACTGGCAACAACACCCAGACTAGGAGGTACCAGAGCCAGCTCTTAGCCAGGCAACCTGACTCCAACCTCCTGCCTCTTAACCTGTTACAGTCACTTCAAAGTGAGAGAAGTTGGGGGAAAGAGCAGAAGGGAGTTCCTTGTTATGGAACCCGTTTCTTTTGAAGATTCCAAATGAGAATATTCCCTCAGGATTTTCAAAATGTCCAGGGTTATTCCAGCAGTATCAGGCGCACACTAAAAGTATCAGGTGCCCAAACAGGCAGGCGTGGCCAAGGGGCCACAATTGCGTCTCTCCAGCACTAGGGGGCAGTCGAGGCTCTGGAAGGACACGGAAGCAGGAAGGTGAATTTCTAGAGCTGCCAGATCTTGTCTGGATTTCTTCCTGTGTTGGGGATGGTAAAGGAACTGAGCTACAAAAAGACTTAAAAGACCTGCCCCAAGTCATACAGTGAGGGGCCCAACAGAACACCTGGGTCTCTGGAGGGATGGGGTAGGGCCCTAGCGCCGGAAAATGAGAACTTGGACCTAGTTCTAGGAACTACTTTTCTAAGCCCATTGTGTTGGTGCATGTGCCTTAACAATCTCATAAAGTGGGAGAATTACATCCATATTCAAGAAGAAACTGAGTGAGACTCAAAAGGCCAGTGATATGGCAGAGCTGGGATTTCAAACCCTGGCTTCACTGACTCTTCATGTTCTTCTGCGTGGGTGACAGTTGAACTTAAAAATAAAAAGTCGTACTCAAGTATGCAAAACAGTGTCTGTAATAATGTAACAAAGACCCATGAACCTATCACCCAGCTCTTAAGACGCAAAACAAAAATTACCAAGACTGACAAAGTCTCCCCAATCACAAAATCTCAACTGTCCTCATTACCCACAGAGGTGAAAGCACTCAGGAAGTGGCAAGCTTCACCCCTTACCCACTTATACCCCCCACCTCATGCATGGCCATGCACTTTTACTACCATTGTTTTGTGGCATTGTGGATCAGCAGAGGCTGCAAAACACAAGGTCAGCCGTTCAAACCCACCAGCTGCTCCTCAGAAACCCTATACAGGGTTGCTGTGAGTCGAAACTGACTCGCTGGCACTTAACAAGTAGAATACGGTGGGGTTTGGCCTTTTGAAAATACAACAATCTTTTTCTCCTGTTTAAGTTGTTTGTGGGACTCCAAACCTTCAGGTTGGTGGTTCAAGCCCACCAGTCACTCTGTGGCAGAAAGAGATTTCTGCTCTTGCAAAGATTTACAACCTCAAAAATCCTGTACAGGATTGCTAAGAGTTGGAACCAACCCCACAGCACTTAACAAGAAGTCGTTTCAATTGGGTGAATATAGGCTTCCCCCCTCCCCACCGCTATATAGGATTCTATTGACATCCTAAACTGCAATTTCTGCATTCAACCTCCAGCAAATAGGCTTTTAATTGTTTCCCAGTGTTTGCTACAAAAAATCTTCCTGCAGTGAATTTTCAGGACTCCTTGTACGTGTGTGAGGGTCCCCTGATAACTCACAGACATCTCAACTGTCTCCTGACATCCCCCAGACTTTGTTTCCCTCCTTACCTGATCTAAAATACAGGAGCCCTGGTGGCATTGTGGGTTAAGCGTTGGGCTGCTAACCGCAAAGTTGATGGTTCAAATTCACCAGCTGCTGTATGGGAGAAAGATGAGACTGTCTGCTTCTATAAAGATTGATAGTCTTAGAAATCTTAACGAGCAGTTCTATTCTCTCCTACGGGGTCACGATGAGTCTGAATGGACTTTGATGGCAGTAGGTTAGATTGGGTTGGATTTAGTCTAAAAGAACCTGAAAGTCACATAGAAATGACTTGAGTCCCTGCTCTACCCCCTCCCGAACTCTAGCTGGTAGCTGGTCTACCTGCCTTATTTATTCCTCACGAGTATTAATTGTTGTTGTTGTTAAGTGCCATCAAGTCGGTTCCTACTCATAGCAGCCCTGTATAGAGTTCCAAGGAGCAGCTGGTGGGTTTGAAGTGACCTTGCAGTCCAGTGCATTATCCTACAGCACCACACCAGGACTACTGAGCATTAATATTAACTAACATTTAATAGAAGGAGCTCTGGTAGCGTAGTAGATTACGAGCTGGGGTGCTAACCACAAGGTCAGCAGTTTGAATCTACCAGTTCAAATCTGTGGGAGAAAGATGAAGCTTTCTGCTCCTGTCAAGATTTACAGCTTTGGAAGACACTATACAGGGTTGTTATGAATCAGAGCAAACTCAGTGGAACACCACCACCATCTAATAGAATCCTGGTAATCACAAGGTCGGCAGTTCAAACCCACCAGCCACTCCTTGGAAACCCTATACAGGGTCACTGTGAGTCGGGATGGACTCAATGGCACTGAACAACATTTAATGAAATGATGGTCCAGTGGGTTGAACATTGGGCTTCCAACTGCAAGGTCAGCAGTGCAAACCCACCAGCTGTTCCAAGGGAGAAAAATGTGCCACTTTATTTTTCTACAGTCTGGGAAGCCCTATAGAACAATTCTACTCTGTTCTTTAGGGTTGCTGTGAGTCGGAATTGACTCCCTGACAATGTATTTTTGTTTTTAGTTTTTATTGTGAATTGAGTGATAGTTTACATAGCAGAGCAGCAACTTTACATTCATCCTATTGAATTTCATTGCATTGCAATGATTTCAATCCCCCTCCATGCATCATCATTCAGCAGCATTTGCTTCCATTCCTCTGGTGTTTTTTTGTTTGTTTGTTTGTTTTGGGATGTACACTGAAGCACTCAGGAATATGTAACCATTCAAACAACCAAAGGGTAGACCCTGCAAGCCTGCCCCGGCCCCCACCCCAGCTGCCAGTACACAGCCCCTCTCCCTCCTTGAGTCTAGAGTCCCCAGCCACTCCATCTCCACGCCATCTTCTCTCCCTCCATCTCTGGCATCGCTGCTTCTCTGGGCAGAGTCCTGCTCGCTCTCCGCTTTTCTCACTTGATGGTTCCAGGATCTTGACTGCAAGATCAACCACTCCCCTCCTTTTGTTACAAAACGACTACCTTTACATTTGCAACACTCACAATCAGTCCTAATAGCAATTATTCACTATTGAACCACAAGAGTCTTATCCCCATCGCCTTTCGCCAGCCCCATCTAGACAGGTTGGAAATCACTCAGTGGAGATTCTACCATCCACCTCCTTCCACCCCTCACCCCCACACCCTCTGAGACTAGGCTCCCTCTTGAAAGCTTGTAAGCCAGTCACCTTGGTGCCTTTGTAGACCTCCCATTTTGGGTAGCCAATGTAAGGCTTTAAGTGTAGGCATTAAATTGCAGATAAATTGACATATTGTAGGAAATTGATACATTGCAAATAATTTTTATCTTGCAGAAGAAAATAAATATCAAATGTTACAATGTTATTGTCTCATAGAACATTAACCAGTTTTGTATCCAACTTTGCCATCTTATTCCAGCATTCTTTTCACCACCATCTATGGATCCAGGTTTGCCCTCGTTCATTCATGAAATAAAAGTTTTCCGTTAAAGAATTAAAAGCAAAACCTATGAATTACAATTCCAATCACAACTGCTGAAAGTGAAGAGGACTTGAAACATATACTTAGGAAGATGACAGAGCACAGCCTTCGATATGGATTACATCTCAATGTTAAGGAAACAAAAATCCTCACCACTGGACCAATAAACAGCATTCTTATCAATGGAGAAGAGATTGAAGTTGTCAAGGACTTCATTCTTCTTGGATCAACTGTCAACACTTGCGGAAGCAGCGGTCAAGAGATCAGACGACGTATTGCATTGGGCAAATCTGCTGCACAGGAACTTTTTAAAGTATTGAAGAGCAGAGATGTCAGTTTGAGGACTAAGGTGCGCCTGACCCAAGCCATGGTATTTTCAATAACCTCATATGGATGCGAAAGCTGGACAGTGAATAAGGAAGATTGTAGAAGAATTGATGCCTTTGAGTTGTGGTGTTGGAGGAGAATACTGAAAGTGCCATGGACTGCCAAAAGAACCAATAGATCTGTTTTGGAAGAAGTACAACCAGAGTGCTCTTTGGAGGCCAAGATGGCTAAGCTTCGTCTCCTACTTTGGACACATTGTCCAGAGAGAACAGTCGCTGGAGAAGGATGTCATGCTGGGTAAGGTGGAGAGTCAGAGAAAAAGAGGAAGACCCCCAATGAGATGGATCAGCCAGGTGGCATCATTGATGGCGTCAAGTGTGGCAGCGGTAAGTGAGGTTGGCCCAGGATCGGACATTGTTTCGTTCTGCTGTGCGTGGGGTCGCTATGAGTTGGTTCCGACTCGATGGCACCTGACAACAACAACAATTACAACCAACTGTGAAGGCAGTACAGTAAGGGGCACCATCTCATTCTGTTGTACCTGGGGGGGGGGGTTGCTTTGAGGAGGGGGTGGAGCCAACTTGGCAGCAGCTAACAACAGCTATGTGCCAGGTAGTATGTTTAGTACTACACATGCCTAATTGCTTGAAATCCTTATCCCACGTGAGGAAATCCTAAACAGTTGAGGAAACTAAGGTTCAGGGACAAGGGGTTTGTCCAAGATCAGCAAATGGCAGAGATCAAGTTCAGAACCACCACGCCTCACTATCTGCCTACAGTGAGTGCCCAAGGTGCATGAGTGACAGGAATGGTGACGAGCCAGGCTTTCCCCTCCCTGAGTTGCCACCCCCAGGGGAATTGTGGCCAAGGCAGGTGCAAGGGAGCAGTTCCTCCCCTTAAAGCCTGATAGGCACTCAGACTGGGACTGCCCCCAGGCCAGCCAGCTAGGGGCCCAGCAGCGGGGGCCAGTGGAGCCCATCTCCTACAGGGTTGGGCAGGAAGTGGGGTGGGGTTTGAGGTCAGGCAAAGTGGGGGTCTGGTACCCCAGGATCGCTGACACCAGACTAACCCACCACTGGGAGAAGATGCCTGAGACTCCAGCGGTTCTCCAAGTTCCGCCTGCCACCATCGTCCTCCTCTTCTTGTTCTGTGCTGCTGGTCTGGGTACGTGGCCCCGCCTGGTGCTTAGGGTTCCAAGGGAGGCTGGGGAGAGGGCCACAGACAGAGTGAGGTAGGAGTGGGGAGCTGAGGAAGGCTCATCTCTGTGACTCTCTAGGAGGAGGGTCTGGTGGTACAATAGTTTACGGCTTGGTTGTTAACCAAAAGGTTAGTGGGGCCAATCTACCAGCAGCTCCTTTGGAGAAAGATGTGGCTGGCTGTGTCCGTGAAGATTTATAGTCTTGGAAACCCTATGGGGCAGTTTTACCCTGTCCTCTAGGGAGGGTCCTTAGAAGTCAGATTGGACTGAATTGCAGTGGGCTGGATTTGGTTGGAGATGACTGTCCAAGCCAGGGATGAGGTGCGTCTAGTGGGGGGGAGGCCTCAGTGAAATTGAAGGAGAATTCACAGCCCCGTGGAGTGAGGTAGCATGGAGAGCTGTCTTCATCACCTACTTGTTTCCACAGGTCAAAATAAGGAAGTAAGATCCAGCTGAGACTGAGAGTACAAGAGGAAGGAAGAGACCTAGGGGCAGTGCTAAGCTTCAGGGAGGAAAAGCTCTCTCCTATGTCACCTTAAACCCCAGTCACTCAGTCACTCCTCTGTAGGAAGCAGGGGAGGTGATGTTGATCATTCATGCCCCTTCCCTACTGCCACTGGTGGGCAGGGGCTCAGAGAGGAAGGTTACACTGGGCTGCAGGGATTGGAGCCCATATCTGCCTGGTCTTATGAGGTGACCAAGAGGTTAGCTTCTTTCTCCCCTTCTTCCTGTCTCCCTCATATCCACCAACCTGCTGTGCACCACCCCAGCCCCAGTCCCCAGGCCAGCCCGAAGACTGAACTCACCCTTGACCCCCAGGTTAACACATACAAGTTATAGAGAAAGAGGGAGGGGACCAAGGCGACGTGGCAAAGCAGGACCCAAAGACTGGCCCCTCAAATCCAGACAGGGGGAGGTGCAGAGAAACTGAATAGTTTGAACCTTTGACTACTCTTGGGACACTGGCAACTGGTGTGTCTCCCCTGGGCTTCAGCAGTTCCACCTGTAAAATGGGGATAATGATAGAATTTATTTCTAAGGGTTCTGGGAAGCCTCCAAGGAGACAGGGATGGTCTAGGCTGCAGCTAGGGGTGGGAAAGTGGACACAGGAAAGGTCTCCAGGAGGAAGTCATGGGAAATTGATTTTGAAAGGAGTTTTGTGGGCAAAAGGAGTCTGGTAGTATAGGTGGTGAAGTGCTTAGCTGTTAACTAAAGGTCTGCAGTTGGGACTCACCATCTGCTCTTTGGGAGAAAGATGTGCCTGTCTGCTTCTGTGGATTACAACCTTGGAAACCCTCTTGGGCATCCCTGCTCTGGCCCAGATGTTCACTATGAGCAGAATTCAATTGATTGGAGTGGGTTTGGTTTGGTTTCTGTGCATAGGGAAATTTCTAGTGCTAAGGACCCCAAACATCTGAGGGTTCAGTGAGGTCAAAGTATCCAGTGGGGTACAGGGAAGGGGGCCAGAGATGGTGCTGGAGGAGAGATTGGACCTTCAGGGTGTCCTAGTCTCCTCGAACAGAACATCTTCCCTGCCTCCTTCCAGTAGCCTCGCTCTCCCCATTAGACTCATCTCTGTCTTCCACCAGGATGGTCTCCCTGGCCTCCCTCCAGAGATGACTTCATTCTTCTCAACCCAGGGGTATCTGTCTTCACTCTGCCCGCATCAGGGATGTCCTCAGTTTCCCCCAGATGTGTCTCATACTCTTTCCCACTGCACTGTTGTTGTCATTAAGTGCCACTGAGTCACTCACAGCCACCCTGTATAGGGTTTCTGAGGAGCAGCTGGTGGGTTTGAATCACCGACCTTTCAGTTCAACCCAACCTTGTGGTCCAGTGCTTATCCTATAACACCATATTAGGACTCCTCCCACTGCACTAAGTGTGCACTATCCCAGGGACTTGGGCTGTGGCCCTTTGTCCCCATCCCTGGCCCCATTGACCCCTCCCCCCTCCTCTCTGCAGGTCCTGGATGCTGCACCCTATGGGTGGACTGGGGCCCACCTTCAGTGACCGTGAGCTTGGGGGATGATGCCCGCTTGCTGTGCCCACACAATGGCAGCAGCAATGCTAATGTCACCTGGTGGCTCATCCTCCCAGGCAACCACACATGGCCATCTATGTTTGTGGGCTTGGGCCTGGGTCCTGAGGGCGAACTGACAATCCCACAGGTAAACAGGAGCCACGGAGGCATATACCAGTGTAAGGTGGAGGATGGCAAAAGCATCCGGAGCTCTTGTGGTACCTACCTCCGTGTTCGAGGTGAGTGATTGGGACACACCCCTGCTGGGCACCTGTAAAGTGAGGGCAGAGCCAGGCCTTCACCACAGCAGAGGAGTGGAGGCTCAGATCCAGGCGGGGGGGATTTCTCATCTGGATAGTGGGCTTGTTGGGAGGGATGGAAAGGAGGCACAGGGGTGCTGAGCAATACCCCTCTTTGCAGAGCTACTGCCCAGACCCTTCCTGGACATGGGGGAGGGCACCAAGAACCGCATCATCACAGCCGAGGGGATCATCCTATTGTTCTGTGCAGTGGTGCCTGGGACGATGCTGCTGTTCAGGGTGAGCCATCTGGGACCCGAGGTCAACTGGTGGGGGCGGGGGCACAGCTCAATGTCCAATTAGCCTATCCTGGACCCTGGGTCAGATGGGGTGGGGGACCACACAATGTCCAACCAGTCCTCTCTGGACCCTGAGTCAGCTGGAAGGAGGGGAGGGAAATACACGTTAACACCCTGCCCCATTGGTCCTCCCTGGACCCTGGGTCAGCTGAGAGGTCATCATAGTTCAATACTGAACCAGCCCTCTCTGAGTCTGAGGGTGCCCTTGAAAAACTGGGAGAATATGAGCACCCACCTCCCCGAGGAGGGTCTCAAAATCCACCTGCCTCTCCTTTGCTCTCAACCCCCCAACAGAAACGATGGCAGAATGAGAAGTTTCGGGTGGGTGCTCATGATGACTATGAAGATGAAAATCTGTATGAGGTGAGCGGAAGGCTAGGAACGGGATAAGGGCAGGTGTGCTGGGGGCTGGACATGGGCTTCCCCACCTAGGGACTGGCTGGGGCAGGGACTCCAGGCATAGGCACTGATGAATGCTGCTGCGTGTCCACCCCAGGGCCTAAACATTGAAGACTGCTCCATGTATGAGGACATTTCGCGGGGTCTCCAGGGCACCTACCAGGATGTGGGCAGCCTCCACATCGGAGACGTCCAGCTGGAGAAGCCGTGACCCTAGCTGGCTGCCCTGCCTTCTGGTTCCCAACTCCAGTGTGTTCCTTTACTTCCCCTGGAACTTTCTTCTTTCCCTTCTCACCATCTTCCCTGGGAGTCATCTTCTTTCATATGCATATCCGGGGGAACTCCTTGGTCCTGCCCAAGTGTCCTGCTCTTCTCTCTGCACTGTTCTCAGTCCTTCCCACAACCTTACTCTCCCCTCCCTGAGCTTCCTTCCCAGGCTCCTTGTTCTGTCGCTCCCTCCCTGGCGGGTAATGAGCCCTTAATCGCTGCCTCAAGGGGAGCTGATTGTAGCAGCCTCGTTAGTGTCCCCCCTTCAACTACTCTATCATGGCCACTTAGTGATAATAAATCCTTCCCAAATGCAGACCTGAGCAGGAGTCATAGATCTCATGGGAATTGGGCCCTTCCCTCCCAGGGGCCCAGGAATCCAGGGACCCAGCGTCCCCTACTCTCAGATGCAGGAATCTCTGAGCTTCCAGCTTCCTCATCTCCCAGACCCAGGATTCTGGGTACAAGCCCCCATGACCACTACCCACAACTAGGACCAGGTGGCCACCAGACCCTCTGAGAGAAACAGGACATCTCTTATAAGGAGTGGTTTGAATTCCTTCAGGGTCTCACCCCAGATTCTGTCCCTGAGTCAGAGGAGGCTGTGTTGTGTATGTGTTGAGGAGCGGGGGGAGTAATATTGCCACAGTTGCATATTTGAGCCAAAGTTGTACTCTTTATGGGCTCAAACAGCCCCATTTTTCTACTGAGGAGCAGCTGGTAGGTTGAAGGTCCTTTAGGTTCGCAGAGACTGTGGCTATACCTTTTCTCCAAGGGTGGTTTGGAATGACTGTGGTCCCAACCTGAGGCTGTGGGGACGTTCAAGGGCAATGACTGATGCACAGGGATCCAGAGTTTCTGAGATGGAGGTACAAAGTTCGTGAGACCCAGAGAGAGTCTGGGAGAAAGGCAACAAGGAAAAGACAACGAGACAGACAGACACAGGGGCAAACATAGGAGGAGAGTGTCCAACAGAGACAGAGGCAGAAGCAAGAAGGGCCCAGATATAATTGGACAGAGAGAGACTGACCAAGCCAGACGCTGGGGAAATGAGGGGAGGTAAACCTAAGATGAAGTCATGAAGTCGTAGAAAGATCCAGAGAGGGAGACAGATGTGAAGCTGGGAAGATAAAGATTCTGAGGGAGAAGGTGACAGGAGGAGAGGTTAGGGGAAGACCCTAACCAAGAAGGGAAGTGAGAGAGAGAACAGAGAAGACACAGAGAGGAAAAAAATGATACAGAAACACACACACGCACAAGGCAAGGGATGAGAGGAAAGCCCAGAGACCCAGAAGGATGGAAAGGAAAGCTGGGGAGGCAGTTGCTCCGACTGAGGCCCAAGGACAGGGACCCCCACCCCTCCCCCCAGCCAGGGACCAGCGGACACTCAGGCTGAGGGATGTGAGGAACGTGGAGGCCTGCGGACCGACCCACAGACAAAGCCGGGCAGAGGTCGGGCGGGGTCGGGGCGAGGCCCCGGCTTGAGGCGACGACTGGGAGGGGCCGGGAGGGGCGGGCTGCGAGAAGGGGAAGGAAGCAGAGGTGCCGGGCGGGCGCGGGGCGCGGGCAGGAAGCGGGGAGGGGCAGCGGGGCGGGGGCCTCCGGAAAAACGCCCCAACTTCCTGCCCCGCCGGAGCCAGGAAGCGGGAGCGGGGACGCAGGGCCCGGGATCGCCAAGCCCGACCTCGGGCGTCCCGCCGGTCACCTCCCCGCGCGGACACCAGGTACACCACCCCTGGCCCCGCCCGGCCTCCCTCCCCTCTGGAGCTGGGAGAGATGGGAACGGGGGGTGGGGAGGGGCTGGGACGCTGCTCAGGGCCCCACTGCGCCAGGGCTGCCCCTCCCTGGCCCTCAGTTTTCCCACCTGTCAAAGGGGGCAACGAGAGGGAGACTCATTTTTGCGAAGCTCTCAGTGGGTGGGGATGCGGGATTGGGGCCGGGGTCACTGTCTCTCAGTTGTCCAGCGGAAGAGGGATGATCACCCCGGTTGTATGGGTGGAAAAACTGAGGCCCAGGGAGCAGAACCGACTCGCTCCAGGGAGCACACATCCTGAGACTGTGTTGATATTTAAATTCGCAGGTGCTTTCCTGTAAGCGCTTTCCTCCAACACCACAAGCTCTAGGCCCACCTAAAAAAAGCAAGAAAGAAGTTAAAACAGTAACAACGCTATAAGCCGCTCTGAAGCTGAAAGTAGCCAGCAGAGCGCGTTTGAAAATGTTGCGGGGGGGGGGGGCGTTCATTAATTATGACCTAGGAGATGTACCCCATTGTACAGCTAGGAAGACTAAGGCTCCTCCGAGAGAGCAATTACTTTTTCCAGGAGGCAAAGGTGGGCTCGAACCCAGGATTTGTGCTCTCCATCTCCAAAGGAAAGCGGGGAAGGGGAGGGATGTACAATTGTTGAAAATTAAGTTCGCCACAGCTAGGGAGGCAGGATAGGGAGGAGAGCTCAGTCCGAGGTTAGGAAACCCAAGACCAGGGGACTCGGACATCGCACTGAGCTCCGCTCTGCGGGCTGAAATCATCCCCTTCTCCGGGCTTGGGGTGGAAGACGGGGGCGGGGCCCGGGAGAGTGACGCGAGCAGTCGAGATACGGAAACACCAGCCCTCCAAGACAGGCCAGAGAGGCCCTGTCGGGCCAGCGTGGCGCAGTGGAGAGCTAGAGCGGGCGGTGGGAGGAGTGGAGTCGCCGAGGCAAAATCTAGGCAGGAGTCAGGCTAGAGCGGCTGACTGGAGGAGTGGAGCTGAACGCGAAGGCCGGCTGTGGGGCGGCTAGAGAGGCTCGGCGGCGGGGGTGGGGGGATCCCGGAGCTGGAGCGCGGAGGCTTCGGTTCCGGCGGCTGCTGCGGCTTCACCTCCGACCTGGAGCAGGTGAGGAATGCGGGCCCGGGTGGGGTCAGAGCTTGACTCCCAATATCCGCCCCAGCATGGCCCGACCGTGCACACCGCCACATCCCTTGTTGGATTTGGGGCTTGTATACACACGCCACGTCTACTGTAAGATTTGGGGCTCCTATAGACCCGCCACGTTCCATATAGATTCAATAGATTACAAGGTCTTATCGTACCTCCAGGTGCCTTCTCGGTCCCTTTGGGGACCCGGCTACTTAACAGCCGTAATGCCCCTTAAATCTATAGTGTCCTCTAGATCCTGGGCCCTATAGACCCTGGTCTTTGGATCCACTACACACAACTATGGAATTCTTCGACTCCTTTAAGTCTTCAGAGACTCCATGTTGTTGTTGGTGGTGTTAAGTGCCATCGAGTCGGTTCTGACACATAGCCACCCTGTATAGGGCTTCAGAAGCTTTACATCTTCATGGGAGACCCTATAAACAGGCTATTTTCCCTATGAAATCCTGACCTTATATAAGCCCTGGATTTCAGTAGTGCAGCCGAGTGTCAAATAGAATCTGGGGCCATATATATTCTTAAAGGAGACCTGGTGGCGCTGTGGGGTAAGCATTTGGTTACTACCCGAAAGATGGGCACTTCAAACCCACCTGTCACTTGACAGGAGAAAGATGAGACTGTGAGCTCCCTTAAAGATTTGCAGTCACATTCTTAAAAGACCCTTTAAAGATTCACCTGGATCCTTCTGTATTTTAGAATCTTGAAGAGTCCCAGGGGTCTTCGGAGACCCTGGGTGATCCACTCAAAATGTTATAGACACTGGGCACTGCAGAGAACACAGGCCTCTAGGTAGTCCGCAAGACTCCCACCGTGATGGACCTTTTAGACCCACCCTGCCCCACCTCACCCCAACTGCTGTGTTCCAGACACTGGTCACTGCCTGGAGATCAGCATTTCTCCACCTCCCACTGTTGACGATATGGGCCAGATAGTTCTTTGTTTGGGGGGATGGGGCTGTCTTGTGCATTTTCAGATGCTTAGCTGCATTTCTGTCCTCTACCTGCTAGCTCTGGTAGCGTAGTGGTTACGAATTGCGCTGTGAACCACAAGGTCAGCAGTTCGAAACTACCAGCTGCTCCGTGGGAGAAAGATGAGGCGTTCTGCTCCTGTAAAGATTAACAGCCTCGGAAACCCTGTGCAGGGTCACTATGAGTCAGAACCGACTCCACGGCACATAACAACAACAACAACCTGCTAGATGCCATTAGTATACTTCCTCCTCCCCACTTGAAACAACTGAAAATGTCACTAGACATTGTCAAATAGTCCCCTGGGGGGGGGGGGCGCAAAATCACCTCCAGCTGAGAAGCACTTACGAAGACCCAAATGCAAAATTCAGTTGCCATCAAGTCAGTTCCTACTCATGGCAGCGTTGTGTGTTGCAGGGTAGAACGGCTCCCTAGGCCTTTCCAGGCTGTGACCTTCTGGAAGCAGGCCACTTGGCCTTTGCACCCTCCTGTGCCCTTCTGGGTGAGTTTGAGCCAGCAGTCTTTCGGTTAGCTATTTTCTTACCTGGTTACTCTGCCCAGGGAGTCCCTGATGTAGACCCACTTAGGCTACATCAATCCAGGGTCTTCTATAGACTCACTGTGAGCCCTCTCTATTTTAGGCTCCTGGTATGTATGGGGCTGTAGGTTAAGCAGTTGATTGCTAATTATGAGGTTGGTGGTTCAAACCCACCAGCCGCTCCTTGGAAATACTATACAGGGTTGCTATGAGTCAGAACCGACTGGACAGCACTTAACAAGACTCCCAGAGGTCCTTGGACCTGCAGAAAACCCAGGTGTACATGTGGTCCTCGATCTATGCCCACTTTGGTGTAGGATGCATACCCTTACGATTCTAAACCAGCATTGACAGCCCCCTCCAGAGGCCTAGACACACAGCGCCCCTCTGCTGTGCTCCAACCCTGCCAATTGCCTTAGATCTATTGACCCCTGCCAAGTACAAACTATAATGTCCCGGCCTTGGGCCTTGGATCCCTTCACGTGTCTCATATCCTAAACAGTCAGTTCCCCCCGAACTCCCTCTGAGATCCAGACCTCTATGGAAGAGCTGAGCCCAGCCTACTGTCTTCTTCAGGCCACTTTGGCCACAAACCCACCACGACTACCACCCCCTGCTCCCCATTCCCTAAATTCCCTATGAATCATAAGGAAATGTGATTATGTCTCAGAGCTTTGGTTCTAATTTGTGTTCCCGAAGAGTGGAGTCTCATTGCTCTGAAGCAACATAAGTTTGTGATTACATTCATAAACCCCAGAGCCAGATGGCCTGGGTCTGAATCCTGGCTTCTAAGCTGTGCCTCAGTTTCCTGCTCTGTGCAATGGGAATAATTATAAGGTCTGACTTCATGGGACCATTGAAAGGATTAAACTAATTAATGTTGTGTTGTTATTAAGTGCCATCGAGTTGGTTTCAACTCATAGGGTTTCTGAGGCTGCACATATTTGCGGGAGTACAATCTTACTTATCTTTCTCCCTCAGTGTAGCTGGTGGGCTCAAACCACCGACCTTGTAGTTCAAAGTCCAGTTAATTCCTCCAAGTATATAAAGTCATAATGCTGTGCCTAGCACATCATAAGTGCCCATGAAATGTTCGTTGTTATTTCGTATAATTGTGATGAAGATAAAGGAGACCATATGTATCAAATGCCTGATTCATGTTTTCTAGTACCAGGTAATGGCTAAGATAATAAGCCTTCACACCTTTTCCCCTTTGGAGGCATTGAGTCTTCCCACCCCTGAGAGAGATGAAAAGGGCCCTCCAGGTCTCTTGGTCACATTGTTCAGCTCAGAAGTTGCAGCTGTTAGCCTGGCAAAAGTTTTCCCACCCCAGTGGGCCTAATAATAGCCCAGGGTGTTTGTGATTGGCGGGTGAGATAAGGTTAGAGGCGAGAAGTCCTTCAAGCAATGCTTGGCACATGGTAGATGTTGGGTAAGGTTAGCTCTTGTGATACATAAGAAGCAGTATTATCCTGTCTTGGCTTAACAAATGTATTTCTGTGAAACCTGAACAATGCTCAAAGCTTCAATTTCCCAAGCTTGGATATTGAACAAATATATTTTAATGAAAACAATAAAAATGATGCCACTTGGGTGACCCTACAGGATTGCACTTGGATCCTCCAGAAAGCATTGGCATTTAAGAATCAGAACCAGAAATTGAATTGACCATTTATTGAGTTTCAGGAAGGAGGCCTTTGGAAGAGGGCAAAGGGTGGGTCTCAAGCAACTAGATTTATGAATAGCTTTGGGCAATGGGGAGCACATCCCTTTCACCCTGTCTGCCCCACCCTTCTCTTCACAGCTCCTTCTCGCCTGATATGGGTGCCCACTGGCATTTGTCAGACTAATTAAGGACCTAGAGGAGGACGGTGGAAAGAGAGATGTGGCTGGCAATTTGAGGGCAGGCAAAAGATGGGCAAGATGGCAAGAGTGGGGAAAGAGCTAGACAGAGATGGGGCCAGCGCTGAGATGCTTAGGTGTGAGGAAGGTGGATACACAAGCCAGTGGTGGGAAAAACAGACACCAAGAATGGGAGAGCAAGCCACTCCACTGAGGCAGGGGGGTGGGTAGAACCAACCAACTGGGAGAGGAAAGACTAGTGGAGAGAAGGAGGGGATGAGAGAGTTGAGGAATGGAGAGAAAAATATGAGGAAACCAGGAAGAGGGGCTGAGACAGCTTTGAGGGAGAGGAGAGGCAGAGAAGACAGGGTGGATGGAGGCAGTTACCCACCTTGGGGCTGACCTGCCTGAGCACAATTCACGCTTTCTGGGGCTGGAGTTAGGGAGTCCCTGAGGGACAGAACTTCTGGATCAGACGCTTCTGATTCCTGAGAGAGGAAGCTTCAGAATTTTGTTTTCTTATGTGGAGAGAGCCTGGTGGTGTAGTGTATTAAGCATTGGGCTGCTAACTGCAAAGTCAGTGGTTCAAAGCTACCAGCCACTCCACTGCCCACTCCTGTAAAGATTTAGCTTTGGGAAATCTATGGAGCAGTTCTGCTCTGTCCTCAAGGGTCTCTGTGAATTCTGTGAATGGGAACTGACTCATGACAGTGAATTGGTTTGGGGGTTAGTTTTGTGTGGAGGGAGTTGGGGGTTGGGGGATTTGCCCGTTTGATTTCCTGTCACAGGAAGTGGGGCTGGTGGGTTCAGAGGCAACATCCTGCCCCAAGCCTGTAGCCTACCAGAAGTGAACCCCTCCTCCCCCTGCCCCCAGTGGGCTCCCCCTTACCTCTGTTCTAATCTTCCCAGCGCTGCTGCCTGCAGGTCCAGTTCTGTCAGGAACCAGCTTCCACCCTCCTCCCTCAGACCAGGAGTTATAGCCCTCCTTCCATTGTTGTTAAAGTGCTGACTCATAGCAACCAAGACACGGCTGGTGGGTTTGAACTGCTAACCTTGTGGTTCGTAGTCAGGTGCTGATCCTCCATTGGAGACCCAACCCTCTCATGGACTCAGGCCCCAGGACCTCCAGTTCCCTCCCTTCCCAGGCTCCCTGTCCTTGGACTCCCTGCCCCTCCACCCCACTGGCATTTGAAGGGCTCTTTGTCGCCATACAGAGGCCCCATTGAGCTGTGGAGGCCAGCTGGGGGAGGCTGTTTACTCACCTTCACACCTGGGCCAGGAATCTCTGAGTAACTGCTCTGCCTCTTCCCACCCTCCAACCAAGGCCCCACCTCCCCAGCCTTGCGGAGCCCATGGAGGCTGAAGACACAGCTCGAGGAGGAGTGGTGAGTGATGCTGGTAACCCAGCCAAGGGGTGAAGGGGTTGGGGCTATGCGGTGGGGAGCTGTGGGGAGCTGTGGGCTGAGCCCCTCTTCTCCTTCCACAGGCCCCTGGACTCTCCCGGCCTGGCCTGGTACCCGTCAGCATCATCGGGGCTGAGGATGAGGATTTTGAGAATGAACTAGAGACGGTGAGTGGGAGCTGGGGACGGGGGGGGGGGGGGTGGGGGTTGCTTACTCTCCCAGTCTTGGTGCCTCTGTCTTCCCACCACTGGCCTCTGTGGTCACCGTCCCCATACTGAGCAACTATCTCAGGCGCAGGCTCTAATCTCTGTCCAGCCCTTTAGTCCAGCCCTCAGGGGCTTGACCCACCGAAGGCCACTGTTCTACCCTCAGAGGTGCTCCCTGAGGACCTCCTATCCCTGCCCATCTTCCCTCCCTTCCTCCTGCACCTCCCCTCCCCTGCCTCCAGCCTTCATGTCTCCCATCACAGATCAAGTGTTCATGTCTGCCTTCCTCACCCACCAGTATGATAAATCTCACCCAGTTCCCCAACACCTGCTTTGGTAGCCCCTATTATAGACCCCCCTCTCAGCCCCCAGGATCTTCCTCTCTTGGATCCTTTGGGAAGTACTGAGCGTGGGGTGGGGACAAGCCCAAGACCCCTCTTCTGTTCCCTATTCTCCTCACCCTGATCCTTCATCCCCCTAGAACTCGGAAGAACAAAACAGCCAGTTCCAGAGCCTGGAGCAGGTGAAGCGTCGGCCCGCCCACCTCCTGGCCCTCCTGCAGCATGTGGCCCTGCAGTTCGAGCCCGGACCCCTGGTAAGGGCAGGGCTGAGTAGGTGGGGTCAGGGTGGGAAGCTGGGACAGGCCCACAGCTTTCAATGAGCTAGATTGGTGATGAGCCAGAGGGTCTGGAAAAACAGGCCCCTTAACCTAGAAAGCCTGAGGTACGATCTAGAAGTCAAGGGACCCACGACAAGACCAGAAGGGCTGTAGGTACTCACCCTTAGTGGGCAGTGAGCACAGGCAGAGGGAGAATTACACATAGCAAGGTCATGTTGGGCAGCAGTCACAGAATAGGAGCCAGCCACTCCTGCCACGCCCATGCCACACCGCCTGTGTGCGACAGCACTCTTCCCCTGGGACTCTGGAAGGGAGATGCTGCCCTCAAGGTGGGCCTTTCTTTTTTTTTTTTTTTTT